CTCAAAACATTTCATAATAACAGATGTTAAAGCTACTGGTCTATAATCATTGAGAGATACCACAGTTGATTTCTTGGGGACTGGCACTGTAATAGATGTCTTCAGGCAAGTGGGGACAGAACACTGCGACAAGAATAGATTGAAAATATCCATAAAAACTCCAGCTAATTCTGCAGCACAAGCCCTAACAACAGTAGGAAAAAATAAATTAAGATGTTATGTGGTGTCAGGTTGTCCCTGACTTGTGGTGACCCCATGAATGAGTGATCTCCGAAACGTCCTGGCCTCAACTGCCCTGCCCAGCTCTTGCAAACTCAAGTATGTGGCTTCCTTCTAACTGTTCTGAAATCACTAGGAAAAAATAAATTGTTGGGGTTGATGGGATGCTGATAGGACTAATTCAAGCTACAAAGACAATCTGTCAAAATCTGTCAAAATCCTAACAATCTGTCAAAATCCTAACAAGAATATGCCAACAAGTATGGAGAACAAAACAATGGCCCACAGATTGGAAAGACTCAATATACATTCCAAATTGATTCATTTGAAATATAGTGCAGGAGGAGAGCTTTGTGGAAACCCTGGACTGCCGGTATGACAAACAAGTGGGTCCTAAATCAAATCAAGCCTGAATTATCTCTGGAGGCAAAAATGCTGAAACCAAGGCTGCCCTTAAGAGCCCTGCTCAGTTCCTGACAACTGAAACCTGTGGATTCCTTTAGGGAGTCGTTCTATTTCATGTTTAGTCTTCCTCTTTACTTGCTGCCTTCAACCTTTCCCAGCATTATTTTCTTTTCCAGTGAACCCTGTCTTCTCATGAGTAAGTTTCAACATTTTTGCCGCCAGAGATAGGTCAAATCCTGTTGTGCAACTTACGCTGCATTGGACTGATGATGCCATCAACTATGATGATTTTTGAGAAGTAAAATTTTTACAGTTCCCCTTCTCTGAAGGTCCTGTGATCCCTTTCATCATGGCAAAACTTTGGGATCCATCGGATGGACAGGTCTTACTCTCCATCATGATCTTTCAAAAGATACCTTAGAAAGGCACTCAGATTATATTGAATTGCAGCCAAATATTAATGTTTAAACAGAATTACCATAAGAGTTCTGCACAGTGCAGAGGAAAGTGTGTGTTTGTGTGTGTGTGTGTGTGTGTGAATCAACAAGTACGCCTACAAAAACAATTTAAAATAAATTCATGCCAACAGTAAAAGTTTCCAAAGTCTGATGTAAAGGAAGGCTGATGTTCTTTTTGCATGTGTGTAGCAGGTTAAATATATTCTTTTGTCAATCTCTGAGCACAGAACTCTGTGGAAAGCACATGTCTCCTTTCCTCTACTCCATCCTCTCCCTTCCCTTTGGATGTTGGCAAACATGCCTCCCTGCAGAGTGAGGGTGGAACACCTAATTAATTTGAAACCGATTCTGGCATTACTGTATAATGTTTTCTTTGTTCTGAATTTTCATCTTGAGGGAATAAAATAATGAATCTAAATTTCTCAGTCTTGGTACTGGGGGAGACCTCTGATAACCTTAGCTTGCAAGGAATAGTAATGAATCCTCAAACCCGCTGGGCTGGGTGGATTGTGATTGATTGAAAACCTTCCCCTTTTGGACCACATTTATCACACAACCTACGTGTAGCATTTTCCTTAAAGCCTCCCTGCTTTCTGTTATAAAAAGCTTTACCACTTGTTATTAGAACTGGCAAGGGTATTGCTTTATATATTAAACCAGTCTCAGAAATTGACCAGTGAACAATTCCTTACATATATATTTAATTATTTTCAGTTGATCTCAGTTGAGTATGTGGAAGGAAAACTTATTGTACTAACATAGCTGCCCAAGATTTATTCTCTTGTGGATGATAAATGTTCAGGAAATCCCCTTTGGTATTTGAACAGGGCAAATGGATTGCATTCTGCACCCTGTCAGACTCAGAAAAGGGAAAAAAAAAAACACCTTCGTATATCTAGATTACTATGCTTTGCTTTGATTTAGCAATTTCATCAGCGTGGACTAAGTGGTTGATCTGCTACTTTCTGGGGTGGAGCAGTGAGGACACGGTTCCCAAAGCTTCCCCAAAACCTGGAGCTAGATTTTCCAAACAATGAGATTGTTAACCAGAGATTGGCAGAAACCACCAGTTCAACAGTTCGTGCCAGTTCAGACAACAGCCAAACAAGTGCTCCACAGTTTGGTGCTCTTCCCCCTCTGGCAGACACCCACTCAGAGGTTGCACCCATAGGAGGCAGGGAAGGGAAGCCAGGGCACTGCTTCTGAGTAGGCAGCTGGCAGAGGAGGCAGGGTGTCGAACTGCAGAACATCTGTTTGGCCATAATCTGAACCATCACCTTTATTTCTAACATAATCTTCACTTAACTAGTAAGCCAAGAAACAAATTGAATCCACCCCATGTCAGATCAATATTCTGGGATCTATCTTTCCATGCAAACCCCTTCTGACAGGAAGAGAAAGGATGCTGACATCATTATCAGCCTGTGGTCACATTTTCCGTCATTATCCACAGTCCAATTAAAACATGCAGATGTGGTGTCAGGCATTCTTAACACACTTTCCCTGAGGCCTTGGGTGTCTAAAGAGAAATAGTAATTTACATTCAATGATGGATTAGAGCATGCATATATGCATGTTTCTGGAAATTACCAAAAGTATACCATACACAGAGTTCAGTGCTGTCCTGGCTGTTCACAACAGGTGTAAAGGGCATCACATTTATAGATTAAGACTGTAACAGCAGAGTCAGGGTACGGGGAATTAATTCACTACAGCAGCTCAGTGGCTGGTTTTCCTGCTATAACAAGGAAGTAGCTACTTTCAATACCCTTTTGTTCATTTTTCCCCTTGAGAATGATGAAAGAGCCATGTCTATAGTACCATTTCAAACCCAGAATATTCTTTAACTTTCCATAATGGGATCATGATGACTGCAATGATGAATATTTCTGATTTACTCTCTGTGTCTAGGGAGGGGTTTCTAAGCACACTTCCTAGCACTGCTGCAGTGCAAAACTGTCTCTTCCAGCACGTCTATTGAGGAAAAGACTGATTAATAGGAATGTGTAAGCAATCACTCTGTCAGGTTTTTCCTTTATGTATTTATGGAATTCTCTACCTCCCAGGCCAAGGGCTGAAACAGAAGCCATTTGTGGTCAGAAAGCTGTACTGTAGTTTGGTTTCTGTGGAAGAACAAGAAAACTGTTCCAGAGCATGCACCCAGTGGGGAAAATTTGCAAAGAACACTACATACATTATTAAAATGTGTACAAACATGCATCCATTAAAGTGTCCACTTGAAATGTACACTTCTTATATCTTTCTTCTGTTTTTAAACACTCACACATAAATGGGACAGAATGGCCCTGAACATGAGAGAAGAGGGAAATCTATGGAAATGAAAAGACCTGACTCAGTTTCCCAGTTACTGCCCAAGTGAAGCCTTTTACTCTGATTCTGCAAATGCCAATGCTGCTCCTGAGAACATACTGTTGTGCCATGCTTGAGGCTCCTCCCTCCACCAAAGTGACCCTTCTTTCTGGAGGAGTTGATGATACTGATGTGAGGAAGTGTTGAAGTCTGGAGGACCACCTCTGTCTGATACAGGCTGCCATCCATTTGGTGTCATGGGAACTCACTGGGTTTTTTTCTTGTGTATATTTTATTAATTCAGTTCCTAGTACACACTACTCCTTCGGGAGCCTTGTTGCATAATCTTGTTATGTACATATATCATATCTATCTAGGGTTCTGATAGGCTTCTACTACAACCTGCATTCTTCTATGAGAAATAATACCTAGTGGGTACCACTTCTAGACATGGCATCATTGCACAAGCTCACCATTTGGAGACGAAACTGCTAGGAAAAATTAAAAAGCTTGTTACGGCTTAGCATTTTTTTAAAAAAGAAATAGACAAGACATTATTGTGACAGAATTTTGCTTTAGCTGCATGCTTCAGAGCAAGTAGATTATGCTAACAACTGGAAAGCAGTCAATTAGAAATCAAGCTGATACTCTCTCTAGTATAAGGCACTGAGGGATTTCTGGAGAATACGCTGACTAACTTCAGAGGCTGATAGCCTAAAGCCCAGCATTGCTTCTGTCCAAAATAAAAAGCCATGAGGCACATAAACACAGATCTTTCCACTCTAGACAGACAATCTAAATTCATGCAGCATATAAGATCATCACTTGGCACACAGCACACTGTAGCAAATTCCATTTTTTCCTGACAATCAATCAATCAGTCAGTCAGTAGTATAAGTATATTCCCCACCCTTTGGAACTAATTCCCTGTTAGAAGGAAATATCAATCCATCAACAGCTGATGGATCGATTCTTTCTATTGATAAGAAATTGATTCCAGGGGATGGGAAATTAAAATATTGAAAGAGTACCCAAAAGAAAACAAACAAACAGGCTGAGAATTCACAGATTTTGATTTTGGACTTTTGTGACAACTTTGGAACAAGATTAAATCAGGGTATATATAAAGCCTTGCAGACATCCTCTTTCTTTCTTTCTTTCCTTGCTCCTTTCTCCATGGCCCTATTTTCCCTTTTGTGTCACGGGGAGTTCATATTATTATTTTGTTTTAACTTTCCGGCCCTTCAGGTGGGTTTCCTTTTGAAGTTGGAAGGGTGGGTAAGGAGGAGAACGAAGAGGTGAGACAATTTGCGGAAGGCTGGAGGAGGAGCTGAGCTTTCCTAAGGTGGAGCCGCGTCTTGGATGAAATGAGACTGGCAGATGAAAGCTCCGTGATGGGGAAGGGCTTAAAGGCTGAGTCAAAAGCCAAAAGTCTCTTTATTTACGCCTACCTCCCAGCCCCTGGCAATCTGACTAATAACAAACCGAGCTAACAAGAAAGACTAAGCGGGAGAGGGAGAGAGCGCATCGCAGCAGCCTGGATCGTTAAAAATAGGAAGGAAAAAAAAAGGAAAAAGCAAAAGAGAGAGAGAGAGAGAGAGAGAATTACGGGTTTGTGTGTGTTTTTTTTTTAATGCAAGACCGGGAGCGATCCTTTCCAGTCCTAGTCAGCGTCTGGCGTGTTTACTGCACGCCGAAGCTTGCAAATGGTTAACGTACAAGCCAGCCTCGCTTGTGAAGTCTGCTGTGAATTTTAATTGAGGCGAAGGGATCCCTGTTCACAGGATGGTACTAGTGGACTCCCTGCCTCGCTCTGGTTCCCCCGCCCTGCCAGATTTCTTGCTTTAAAAAAAAAGAAAGAAAGAAATCGCTCCCCGCCTCAGTCAAATGGTTTGCACTGCCTGCCTTTGATCCTGGATTTTAACTTCAAGGAACTGCGGCTTTACGCACCCGAGTTTTCCGCAAAGTGAGATTTAACCCACAGGAAGGAGAGGGGGAAAATATAACCAAGAAAAGTGTCCGTTTGAGGGGAATAACCAGGCTCCGGATTTCCTTTAGAAGAGCTCCTCTGTGTGCATCGCCGATCTTGTCAGTGGGTGTAGCTGCTGTTACAGGTAAGGAGACTTGCGCCCAGGCGCAGAACTTAAGGCTAGCCAGAACGCTGCGCTTTTTCCCCTTCTCTCTCTCTCTCTCTTTTTCTTTTATCACCTTCGGTACCGATGCTACGTTTTCTCACTCATCGAAGGGAGAGATTGTTTGCTTTCCATTTACCGACAGATGCCTCAGGTATCGCAACGCTCCTGGTGGTGGTGGGTTCCTCTCCCCCCCCCCCCCACATGGCAGGTTTGTTGGAAGAAATGAGGTGGCAGGAAAGCAGAGTTTGGGGAGAGTGCCGTTTGGACTATAAAAAGACTTTTTAAAAGCCCCGATCGATGCCTCCTGTGAAATATTATCGTACCACTCCGATTGCCTGCAGAATCTGACAAATAAGCAGAGAGCCTGTTAGTTATTCACGCGATCGGTTCTCCTAACCTGAGGCTTTGGACTTCATCCGTATCCGGTTTCTAAGAATGGTAGAACGCTAATTAAAACAAGACAAGGTATTTGATTTTTTTTTGGTTTGGAGCAGATGGATGTATTGGTTTCAGATGTATGGAGACTTTGCCTTAGGAACATGGGAGGCAGGATTCCTGAAAGTACACAATTGGTGCGAAAGCTAACCCAGCAGGACAAACTCTGATGTTCACTAGATTGTTGTGATCTGTCTGCTTCCCCATCCCATTGCCTTCCCCGCTCAGAATGGAACCAAAGAGAGGGGGTAATTTTCAGAAATATTTGTGGGATGAAAAATAATGCTTCAGCTAAGAATGCACAGGCATGGTTATGAGGGAGACAGGACTATGACGAAAGTTATAATTTCGAAAGTGACACCTGGAATGTTTTCAGGTTCACCATTTTTTCTAATACAAGGTTGGCTCTGCCTTGAAGAATCCATCGAATTATGTTTGGTAGGGTAGAAGTTGGGGAGAACATAGCATGTTCTCCCCAACAGGCTTCTTTTTGGAAATGGTTGTCTTATTAAGGGCTCTTGGGGGTGGGGAAGAGAGAGAAATGAACAAATAGAAAGACTAACTCTATAGGACAGTGCCCTGTGGTTTTCCTACACTAGATAGAAGCTGAAGCATCTTTCTGCATAGAGGGAGGGATAGAGTATCTGAGGAATTGAGTCTGGCTTACTGCGGTGTAGTCAATGTGGAGTATGACAGTGGTTAAAATGAGAATGTTTGCCAGCTGCTCTCACTTACCCTAAACCTTAAAACTTTCATGCTTGAGAAAAGACAGCGGGAGGCATTCGGAAATAAATATGCAAAGTGTCGTGCGATGTAACACACCGTTTAAATTAATGCAAGTTGATTTACATCTCTGGATTTTGCTAAAGCACTTGTAACCAGTCTATTCTGAATGCTCTGTTTGCTTAACTAGGAGAGCAGTTAGGAGAAAATAAAAGTGAAATAATGATCCAGTTACATTTACACAGACAAAAGCTTGGTTTGTGAAAGGAGAGGAGGCAAGACAAAGTCTTGGGGATTAAAAGTTAATGCTTTCTCCTTTAATGGCTGATATTAAGGGAAGTTCTTTGGGTCTGCATGTTGTGTCTTGCCCACCAGTTCTGCAAGGGAGCTAAGAAAATGTCAAGCATAGCCATGTGTTCTTGAGTTTAGGGATTGCATCAAGGCAAGCAGCTCACTTGCTTCATCCTGCAAGACACACATGCGTGTTTTTTCAAACTCCGGTGTCAATCTTACTTCAAAAAGATCTGTAAGCTAGCACACATATATCTAAGTCAGTTGCAACTGCAATGCAATATATACATTTTATCAGTTTGGACTAAGCTTTGCTTGACTCAGTGGTACTTGCTTCTGAGTAGACATATGAGATTGCACCATGAGAGTTATTGTCAGCTTTGGAACCAGTCTGGTTTATGGTCATGTTGTTTGGGTGAATGCCTGTGTACAAAGCTGACCATCACAATCAATAACCATCTAAACTTGAATAAAGGTCAGAGGTACTACCTGCAGATTAATGGCCTGATCATGAACAGTCCCCCCCCCCCGGAAGTATGCAGTAAATTAACAATATGATATAAGAAAAGCCATGCTAGATCAGAAAGGTTTCTCTTGTCCAGCACACTGTCTTCCACACTGACCAGGGAGATCCTTGTGGGAAGGTCACAGTCCAAGGGTTGAGGGCACTCATTATCTCCCATTGCTGCTTCTCAAGTTTCCTTATACTTGTATATTGCAAGCTCTCTTCAGTGTGCTGAATGACATGAATAATCTAAAGAAGTGCACAGCTATAAAGGGTGACACATTGCTAGCAGGCAGGGCCCAGATGCTAGACCCATGAGTATTAATTAACTAGCTAATTAGTTAACATTTAGATATCAGGTTTCATCCAATGAGCTTGAGCCAGCAAACATGGCTGCCCTCTTGCCTATGTCATTCGCAGAACAATCATGAGAGAGAGAAAGTGAGTTTGAGACTGGACCAAAGGCATCCAATTGTATGGCTGAGTTCTAGGGCTCAGTGTGGACTTGAAGCACTCACATCTCAGACTGACACTCTAACCACTTTACCACACTGTGCATGGCATCATGCAAAGGACATTTTCTTATGGAAAGAGATGGAAAACTGCCACACAAATAACCGTTCCAGATGCTTGCATGTTGAACTATTTCTCCAAGCCAGACTGGGTGTCTTCAATTAAAACTGTCTCACAATGGAGTGTGTCTTCCTTTATATCAGTTGTATTGCTTCAGAGAGACCAGGGCTGTAGATTCACTAAATTCAGTGGGGCTTAATTCTGAATAAACATGCATAGGTCTGTACACCACCTTAACTGTTGCTACTTACTGCTGCTAATAAATAGCCCACACCACAAAAAGATTTCTATTGCATGTGTTTTCAATCTTTTTTCCCCCAAAAGAGATTCTTCCTTTGAAAATATGGTATAATTTACTTTGTTGCAAATTGGAAACAGATTATGACCTTATGTCAAACAGAGGGTGACACTGAAACATCTCACAGTACAGTAAACCCTTCCAGATAAGGAACAATTTTTTTTAGGGACAACTTTAATCTTGTCTAAAGAACTATGCTAGTGAATTGCCTACATTTAAAAGTGTCAATCAGGCCAAACATATTGCTCACCCATCAATATTTTTCCACTTAAACTTCTTTGCAGTATTGATCCCAAGAATGTCAAAAGTAAATTTTTGTTTCTTCAAATGGGGTTTACATGCAAGTAAGCAGGTACAGGACTGCAGCTTTACAATAAAGCATATTTGAGATTGTGTAGAGAATTATCTATCCACCAACCCGCCCATCACTATATATTTATCTCTGAATATGATTAATATTGTTGATGGAAGAGCCTAAAAGATATCCATTTGTTTACTGATTCTCCATCCTTGCTATCCTTGCTTTCTTATAAATGTTACTATCTTGTGCATTTCTAGAATTTTAAAAATTATTGGCAGACAAAAAAAAAAGCTGTGGTGAAGTAAAATAAGGAAGACAATGCAACAAAATATTGCAGCAGACTGTTTATGTGTTTATGTTTCCTTAACCTGAGGCATAGCAGGGGGATATTAAGTAATATTAGTGTCCGAAGGCCAAAAAATGTGCTGTAACCTGATTGTTACTACACTTGCACAAAAAAAAAAAAAACCCTGTGTATTATTTTCAATTTTTTTTAACAGTGAAAACTACAACCAGTCTGCATAATGTGGGAAGGAAGGATATCATTCTGCCATATAGCTAAATTCAAGATTTGTTCTAGGAGGAAGTCTGGATGAACAATGTCAGTAGACTGACATTTGCTGCAACTGGAAAGGCCTGAGAGGTTTTGGAGGTGGAAACCAGAGTGATTTCAGTTCCACCTCTGAGACCTGTAGTATTTACAGTGAAAGACATGCACCCTTTCTCAGCACTGCATGCACATCTCAACCCACAGCAGAAACAGAATACTTTGTTTGTTTGTTTACTTACTTATTTACTTACTTACTTATTTATTTATTTTTATACCCCGCCTATCTAGTCATTGTGACCACTCTAGGCGGCTTACAACGTAAAATACATAACAAATATAAGAACAATTATTACACAATTAAAGAAGTCTGCAAGATGGAGAGCATACAAAATAAATCAAATAGAGAGGAGAGGGGAGAGAATCAGGAATTAACTGGGGGGGAGGGAAGGCCTGCCTAAACATCCATGTTTCTAATTGATTTTTAAAAGTCCCCAGCAAGGGAGCCGCGCAAATCTCCAGAGGCAGATTGTTTCAGAGGTGAGGAGCCACTGCCGAGAAGGCCCGGTTTCTTGTTTTTTCCTTCCGGGCCTCCCTCGGCATCAGGCTCCTCAGCCTCACCTCCTGACTCGCACTAGTGACATGGGTAGAACTAGGTGGGAGTAAGCATTCTGCCAAGTATCGAGGCCCTAAACCATTTAGGGCTTTATACGTAAGCGTCAAGACTTTAAAGTCGACGCGGAACCGAATGGGCAGTCAATGCAGCGCGGCCAAAATAGGAGAAATATGGTGGTATTTTCTTGCTCCGCTAAGGAGTCTGGCCGCCACATTCTGCACCACTTGGAGTTTCCGTGTCAACTTCAAAGGTAGCCCCACGTAAAGCGCATTACAGTGGTCTAATCTCGAGATTACGAGCGCATGAACCAAGGTAGTGAGCGCCCCCACATCGAGATAGGGTCACAGCCGGGCTCTCCGCCAAAGGTGGAAAAAGGTGATGCAGGCCACCAACGCCACCTGAGTCTCCATGGTGAGCACCGGGTCCAGATGGATCCCCAGGCTGTGAACCCCACTCTTTGTGGCAAGGGCCAACCCCCAATGAGAGGGAGTTGGGCACCCAACCTCAGAACCTCCGTCTTGTCCGGGTTCAGCCTCAGCCCTTTTTCCTGCATCCATTGTAGTACAGCCCCCAGGCAGCGCTGGAGGGACAGACCGGCATCACCTGCAGATGGTGGAAAGGAGATGTAGAGCTGTGTGTCATCAGCATACTGATGATATGATGCCCCACACCCCCTGATGACCCCGCCCA